AATGACTCCGAATCCAGCAGGCCACTGCAAGTGAACAGTTCGATCGGGCTCCTTTCATGTCCCACAAATTCGAAGGATTGTTCCCATGCTGAACTCCCAGATGCCAGAAGATATGTTCTTGGACGTCCTGGACTTCCTCCATGTGCACTGCCTCGCGCCTGAGGAACATGGTGCTTTCAAGGACCTGGGTTTCGATGCCACAAAGACCTTTGGGCAGCCGACGCTCAACGCGCCCCTCGGCGTGTCGGTGTGCCTCCTGAGGACTTTTCTCAATGCAAAAATATCTATAGGTCTTAAAGGCTGTCACACACACACGTTCTGCAAGACACATGAGTTTCAAAGGTTTATGCAGCATCCAAAAATGCGGGGAACCACAACACCAACGCATTTCATACCCTCTGACTCACTAACATGGAAGTGGGAAACCACCTATGTGTAGAGGAAAATGGTCTTCCCAGTGGCCATTGTCCATTTCCATATTAGTGAGTCGGAGTGTATACTTTCTCAATCCTCTTCAAGCTTCTACTCGAATTTGCTGCCTCGAAAACGCCCAGGTTCATGGCCTTGCCGCGAAGTGCCTGGCGTGCCACCCGCGCACGACGCTCCGATGCTTGTGGGCGGGCCTAGGCCCCACGGATGTGGCATCCTTGGGACTGCCATAAATGCCTACATTGACCCCCCAAAACCACCCCAATGTAGGCATACATGGAGTATCCGGGAAAGGTAGACTGGTCTATTCCCGAACCTTACAGGGGGTTGTTGCCTGGGAGATCTCCCGATTTTAATACACACTCATGTGTTCTCCTGAGTTGGCGGAGAACGCAGCACTACGAGTGCTTGAGTAGGAGAGAACAACAGTATCCGGGACAAGGTTGGCAGGGACAAAGGTTGGGGGTTGGCAGAAGACCAAAAGTTGCACAAGTTGATGTGTCAGACTTTACTGCTTGCACCTTTTGTATCTCCCAACAAACACAGTTGTTTCTACAAATGGCCCACCAAAGGGTGGGTGATGGTGGCCTAGTTCTTGAGTGAAAGAACTGAAGAACCGTCAGATGTGTTCCTTGGCAACATGTTCACGCCTCTTCATCGTTTGAAGTGGTGGTGAACATCTATAAAATCTATATAGGGCTTGGCCAAAAATAGGCTTCTGAGCTAAGAGTTTGGTTTGGGGGGGCATACAGCATACAGCCCATGTAAAACCTTTGTCCTCACGAAGTAGACCTTGTTGGAGACTCATCTTTGGGGTCCAAGCCTTTCCGATTGTCACACAAGTCGAAATCACCAGACCCCTCTTGACCATGCCATGCCATACCTCACCATGAACATCCCTTCACCAAGTTCATGGCTTCACCATGGACGAAAAAATCCCTTTGGCCATTGGCCACTTGGGAAGTTCCCAACGACCAGCTCCCTCCCTCATAAGGCCTCATGTATATATAATAGTTATTCTATTTGTACATCTATAAATATAATATATATTGTTAGAATGTATACTATGATACAAATATGGATATAGATGACATAATATGTCATGTTTCATGTGTGTATATACAAATATATATATATATCTATCCTAAGTCATTTTCCCCGGCCGAGGCCTCGCCGAGCTCTTCGCCGCGGACGGGGACGACGCCCTCCGCGGCCGCGCCACGCTGCGGGACGCGGCGCTGAGGCCGTTGGAGGCGACGGGCCGACGGAGGGGGAGTAAAGAAAGCGAAGCGCGAGGCCGTTGAACGGTGGAAGGTTGGAAAGTTGTGGTTGGACTACGGAAGACATCCTTGGGCAATACGGTTGACGCCAGTTGGGTGCAAGGATGTTGATCCTGCTTGCTGATGGATCCAATCTTCTGCCCATTTTAAGACACCTGACCTAGGATAGTGCGCCCACTGGACCACTGAACCAAAATGACTTCAAAAATGTCCCAGCAACTGCATCCAAGCTGTGATCCTGAAACCTAACTTCTTGGAAGATCAACATGGCAGGCCATCGGGTTCCCAGGTGGGTCTCTTCCTGGGTGGTTTTCTTTCTTGGTAGATGCTCGACCCAGATGCGGTCGTTGCTCAGTGAAGACATATGCGATGCGATGCTCTAGGAGGTGAAGATGCACCTACCTGCCAAGATCGGCGACTACACCGCTTCTTGACCCGATACCATCGGTGGGGGGGTGTCTTTGGGCCACAGTGCTCCTTGGCGTTGTTGGGATTACATTCACCAGAACGATCACTATCCATGGATACGTGGATGGCATGGCCCCGATTTCGGACCTTTTTCCGACAAACTGGTGGCGCCATCCATTCCATGATGCTTCCAGGGAGTGTAGTAGTACTTTTTGTTAGTTCGCGCTTGGGAACATTGTTCTGAGATTGATTGGTCCTTTCCTTCGAGCGAAAATGGTTTTCAGTTTGCAGTGTTTCCCGTTGCTTCTGATTCAGCAAGTATGTAGACTCAATGTAGACCGTCAGACCTGTGGAATGCGCGGGAATGTGGGATCTTGTAAATGAGTTGTAGACAGTTGTTTTAACGGCCTCTCTGCTTGACATATGTTTGTTTGCATCTGTTTGGCATATCCTATTCCCTGTAACAGTGGATGATGATGGTTATATACTACATGATCAAGGAATCTAGGAAGTTACTAGATGAACGTTCCAAGATACAAACAGTTGCAGCAGAGAGGGCACCCGGAACCCAGCTCCCCCCAAATTGCCTAATGAAGAGGATCCTAGAGTTTCTTGTTCCAGTTAACCAGGTTGGGTTCATGGCTAAGACTGTATCCAAGTCAAAATGTAACATATGCAAACGATTACTGGCTGGGATTTTGTCAGCAGGTTTGAACATGGGCCTGGGCCAAGGACTTCTATTCCTCGAGAGAACATGCCACAAATGTGGGCAGCTTGGATGCAAGATGCACGATCATGGTAGTGACAAGTAGTGTTTGTTTGTTTGAATTTGTCGAGATCTCCACTTTTCAAAGCAGATCAGGTCTGACTGGAGCATGACCAATGTACCTGCAAAGGCACTCTACGGCATTCCTCCAGGTTAATGCATATGTTTTTGAAAACTAAAATGGTAAATATATATATATATAGTTTAAAGTAAAAATAATGTGTCCTTCCGTCCTTCCGTCCATGTGCAAACTATGATAATTGAGGGTTGCACCCTGTTGCACCAATATCACAGGCAGCAGGCAAAGCCCATCGCCCATGCTTCGAAACCCCTAGGTAAGGACACTGGCCCAGCATTCTTCCGAAATGCTAAAGCGCATTGATATGTGGTCAAACTGTTTGTGTGTACTACTGTTTTTTTTTTAAAGTTACGCCATATAAGAGAGAAAGAGAGATGTAGCTTTTTAGAACATCTTTCAAGTTAAATGTTCATGACACCGGAAGTTCTATTTCTCAGGTGGCATCAGGAAACGATGCAACTTCCTCCTATCCTCCTCCCGATGCAGAAAACCCTCCGCTCAGCCCTCAATAGGTTTTGCCACCTTCCACGAGGCCCCTTCTGGCAGGGAAGTTCCATTCGTGGTCGATGTTTCCCCTTCCCAGGTGTCTTTATAGGTCACCTTATGGAAAACATATATCTCCCATGGCGTATATGTTGGCAGCCAAGGTATCATGTTCCGAGGAAAGGCTACGTGGCTGCGCTTGGACACACTTGTGATGGTGACACTGTATAGACGTTTGTCAGGGAGTTATGCCAAAAAGATGCTTTACCTGGGAGTTAGCCAAGTCGAGGAGTCTGCCACGTCCGTGCTCTCCTTTTTGTCCGTGCTCTTTGAGTTTTTTCGAGTTTGTTGAGTTTGGCCGAGTCCGTTTCCACCAACAGCTATCCTCAAATGGCAGTGTCTCCGAAACATGGGGCTTTCTTGAGTTTTCATTCGTGTCCCCAAGAGGTGTCCCAACTCTTTATTGTTCCCTTCGGTTTCTCCGAGGACAATGCCTTGCAGCCGAACTGGCTCCACCTCCCCGTGGGCTACCACGGCCGTGCCAGCAGCGTGGTCTTGAGCGGTACGCCGCTGGCGCGGCCCCGTGGACAACTGCAGAAGAGCCGAGAGGATCCCTGGCAAGGCCGGGCGAAGTGAAGCTCCGACCGAGGGCGTGCGACGCCCGAAAAGTACCGCGACAAGAAGGGGTGGAGAGTGGAGATGCCCTGGTTTGGCGGAATTGGCGAATTGTTCATGTTTGCTTGTGGTTAAATATGGTATATCCGCTTTTGGTTTGCACCGTTCCTTATGCAAAAGCAAGCATGTGACATGACCAAAAGTCCCAAACCCAAGCGACTCCTGGCAGGGTACACAATCAACTGCTTCCACATGCTTGGAATGTCTTGGGAAACTAATTACTCCCCTCGTTCTGCATGCACGCATAGGTCATAGATCATAGAGTCTTGCTGAAGATGGTCATAGAGTCTTGCGTTCTCAACTGAAGATTGACATAGGTCATAGATGATCGGCCCTGAATGTCACGCCTACATCATCACTCCGGTCCGTCGCTTCCGGAGTGATCCGGTGAAGAACTGGGGACTAAAGAAAATAGTGCTCAGCTTCTGGACATTTGGGTTTTGAAAACGTTTATGAACCGAACCGAATCACTTGGAGAAGTCGTGTTTTGTTGCTTCGAAGAAGAGGGAGAGCCGTCGAAAGACTTCCACTCAGACTTGTTGGGCATAGCTTTGGCGCGTGGACTTCCGAACGAAAAGCTGGTGAATACTATGCCAGTATCTAGTCTTCCAATGCCCATCACTGGGTCCTGACCAAGGCGTCATCTTCGCAAGATGTTCGGATGTTCGTCCGGGTTCAGTCTTCTCCCAAAAGAGGTCAAGCTTCGCTCCGCAGATGCTCCGTTGAACACGCATACACTGCGGCGTGCCACTGGCAGGTTCTGTTTATGGACCCTGCAAGCTCTTAGATTTCGAGCTGGACTGGTGGGCCGGGGTCATGTTGTGGGCAGGGGTCATGGTGCAGAGGCTGCCGCGGTTCGTCGAAAAGTGCCAGAAGAGAGATGGCAGCATGGCTTTCAGTCCCTCACAAGAAGAGACGTGCCCGGAAAAAACCACTTAAAAAGCACACCGACGACTGCACGAACGTGCGCGCCTGGGTGTTTTCCACACAGATCCCCCACCGGGGAACGGTGTGGACCTGTGTGTCGGTCCAGTGTCCGACCGCACGGACGGCACAGGAGATCGGCTTCTTCGTGGGTGGCCAGTTGCCACCGTTGGGGCGGCCACTGAGCATCCAGGAGGCGGAGGAGCACATCTTTGGCCGCTCAGAGCACATCTTCCTGCCAGGTGTGAGGGGCTTTGGAGATGAACATGGAGAAGGTAATTGTATGTAATTGTGGGACGTTCTTCTTGGCGAACTGTTGTTGTCTTTTTTTAAATGAAGGGGTGTTTCCCAAAGAAGGGGAGGATGCCTTTCGTGGTGGAAAGAATAGAGTTTGTGAGGACCTTCTTTCGATTTGGAGAGATCTGGGGATTGGAAACAAGGAGATCAACTCGCAGATGCCTTTGTTGCCTGAGTTGTGCTTGAATCAGCAATGGTTGAATATGATGGAGCCCCAGGCCTTCAGGCTTTGCTCCTTTGGGTCGACGGACGGATATGTTTGGTACACATTATTCGAGCCACGACCAAAACCCCCAAATGGATTGTTTCGTGGGGATTACAACCATTCAGTATCATTAAGGGATTTCCTACCAGGTTTTTGGCTCTGGCTCATCTGGGCCTATGTTCTGGGTGTTCACTTGCGTATTCACCAGGTTTTTTCAAGATGTTGACAAAACATTCAACCAAAGCCACAATGGACCTCCTATAGTACAGCGCTTTTTGCGAAGCCACCAGGATCAGCTCTTTGCAGGACACTCATTGCAGACATCCAATCCACAGCTTAGACTCATGTTGGTCGTGCAGTAAACAAAGTCAGTACTTCACGTCCTGAGGCGCTTCACGTGTTGATGTCTTTTGGTCGAATCATCAAGTCCAGAATTGATGCGACGAGACAGCCTGTTGCCTGTTCTATTTGGTCCCCTCAACTTATTTTGTGTACAGCTATACAAGATTATAAACCGCCCTTAAGGCCTTAAGCTTGCGCATTTCAACAACGAGGCTGCCTGCTGGCTCTTGAAGTTGCTGAAAGATAAAAAGGGTCTCGGAAAGGTGGAAGGTACACGGAGGTATGACATATTTTCACAAGTCAAGGGGCATGGTTTTCACCAACCATCCAGTTCTTTCCGCTCCTTCTTGCTACCTCTGAGAGCCCAAGGCTACGTGCTGATGAATGACTGGTCTGCACGAGATATCCAGGCACGCCCGTGTTGCACCAACCGCCTGGTATCGCCTGACAGGGAAAGCCTTTTGAAGCACCAGATCCACCAGACTGGTTCACTGTGTTGTGTTTGTTTGTGTTCTGTTCTTGTACACGTTGGTGACACACGCTGAAGCGCCTATTTGCACTATATGATCAAGATGAAACGGTTCTTCTCAGAGTACCTATCAGAAATCCCATAAAATCCCCATGTAGCATGAAGGTTCCACCACACTTTCCGACTCTTTGCACTTCAGGTTCTTCACCCCAAAAAAGCCATTCCCCAAACAGCAATCCCCGGACGCATGCCCCCTGCAGCAGGAACCCTGGCTTCAGACACCCAGAACCGATCACCCCGCAGACCTTGTATGACGAGCGTCAGGCCTGGGAGTATGTGCCCCTGGGCCCCTTCGGCGCCAAGAACTTCGGCACCACCATCTCCCCATGGATCGCCCCTCGGAGAACACCCGGTCGGAGGAAGGACGAAGCGACGGCGGTTCCGCCGGTTCCGCCGTTGAGTGACTTCTGTAGATGCTAGGATTTCCAAAGTGGACCAGGGTGAGAATTGTCTCAAGGAATATTGTCGATCTACATCTTGGGAACATTGGTCATAGGGATATGATTTGCCGCAAGAGAATGTCACTCACCTGGTTGAACTGCTTGCAGCCCTGAGCGCGATACAATTTGATTGCACCGTTTAACTACAGACCTACCAGCCAGCCGAGCCTCTCATTTTCTCAGCATAGGACACACTAATTTGTAGTGTCCCTGGCTGAAGGTCCTACCGTCCTACCACTTCACATCCATTTGTGCCTCTCCGTGCCCTTCTTATCCCTCCCTCTTTGGCACTTCACGGGACCGCGCACCGAAGCTGGACTGACCCCAAGAAGCTGCGCCTTCCAACGCCGAAGCCGCCGAACCCGCTCCGTCCACCTCCCAGGTCAGCCCCGACGCGCTGGAGCCCTTTGTGTGTTCCACATCGGCGGAGTCTTGAAGAAACCAGTGGAACGAGGCCTTAAGCATCGCAGCGCTGCGCTTCGGGTAACAACTAATAATAAGTGTAAGTGCTTCCACCAGGTTGGGACAGTCACTGGTTTCCCGGTTGAAATAGACCCTGAGCTGAATGAGAAAGTAACTTTGGAGTATTGTGAAACCCTAGGCTACCCTAGGTACATCTAGGTGCCAAGGACATCTTATTATGACTATGACTCTACAGTAGTACCTGAGATCCACAGAATGTGGCCATCCATGAGGTTTGGTATAGATAGGTACAGTATAAGTGTCAGTCAGTCCCGAGCAGTTCATGTGGTTCATGTTCAGAATCTTCTTGCTTCGGTTCATTTTTCATCTGCCCGGTCAAAACATGTCAAAACAACCGGTCGAAGCTTTGCCGGCTTTACCTGTCAAGAGGTTTCACACTTTTTTAAGTGATATGCTCTGATGCGTCAAAATGCGTGGACCATGCTTTTTGGGAGTCCTTTGTTGAAGAAACCCACTGCTGCTTTTCTCGTTGACCTCTGGAGAGTCTGCTCTTTATTTCGGACCAGTGGTCTTTGGTGCGAAAAAGAAGCCCGGTGTTCTAATGCTTTGAGCCCAGGACCAGTTCGATTTCCACCTCAGAGCTGGAATCGGCCATCCTCGACCCATGTCAAACCCCAGGTCCAGGTACCTCTGTCCTTCGGATGGTCGAACGGAGGTGAGTAGCGTGGTTCCAGAGAATGGCCAAAAGGACGTTCGATTCGGAGGGTCCTGGACCCTCAGGGAACCCAAAGGAAATACTATTCGTACTGGGTTCGGGTCCGGGGTCGCCTTTGAACAGGCTGAGCAGAAGCAGGAAAGGTTTTGTTTACGTCTTCTGATCACAGAGAGGAACACCATTCAGCAGCCCTGGGTGCCTGGGTCGTGCCTGTCAGGGTCCGCGTGGCTCGGGTTGTCGCCTGCAGCCTCCTCCAAGCTCCAAGGAGAAGCAAACCGATCCTGAGCCACTGCCCTACTTGAAAGAAGAGCCGCTGGGCACTGGTTTGACTGACGGTTGACTGGTTCACTTGACTGATGGCCAGGTGGCCACAAAAAACTGACTCACAATCTGGCCAGCATGTAGCTCCATCAGTGCACCGGCTAGAATAACTGCTAGGCAGGGAGACAGTTTTGGCACCAAGTGTTGAATTTGAGACGTCTCGCCTAAGTTCTTCATCAGAGCTCCAGGCTTCTCCTAACCACTATGCCAGACACACTGGCAGAGTGCAGGTCTGGTGGAGCTCATCGTGTTTTCAAGAATTTTCCACATTTGGTTCGGAGTCCGTTCCTAAGTTGACGGTTCGATATGTGCGGTTCTTTGGGCACCCGGCAAGATCCTGCCTCAACCAAAAAAATGCCTTATTGCATGGGCATATAAAGACATCGGTGACCAGTGACCACAGATTCTGTTGGGGTATGGTGGCGTTTGTATTTTAATGGGGGGACCTCCCTGGCCCAATGTGTTTTTGATGTTGCCAGAGGTCGAACTGGGTGTCTCCCTATTCGAATACACACCCTTTTTCTCAGACACCTCTTGTTGGATGTGACACTGAAATCGCGGATTTGATCCGATGTCTCAGCCTTTCAAAGTCTGCAGATTACCCATGTTACCCCATTTCAGTTTTTGAGCCAGACCTTCTTCCCTCCATGGTGTTTCTACTCGCCCCTCCCCCTTGGCGGTGCACACGATCTTCTGCACTCCGACCGACTTGCAGTACTGGCCGACTGGTGAACACGCTCCCCGACCGCCTCCGGCTCGATGGATTCAAGGGGTGGAGCACTGGCGCCCTCACACAGAAACTGGAAGTCTTATCGTAAGATCTGGAAGCACATACCGACCCAGTGACCCGTAGAGTGGCCTAAACAGACATGGGTGATCTGACATCAGAATCCTGAGCCCAAGGAACATCAATGGTCACACATGTACCTTGAGGACCTCAGAGATGGAAAGCTATATCTCAAAGAAGATGTCATCCAAGCTGAAGAGCCTGAGGGCGCCCAGGATGACATACATCTTAGATGAGTTGAGGGCGCCCATACGTCATGAAGATAACATCTAAGTGAAGATGTCATCTCTTCATACTTCACACATCTTCACTTCATACTTTCTTCGCCTTCGGGCGGCTTCTCCTCGCTCCGTCCTGCTTCTCCTCGCGCCAGAGCGGGTGAAGCGGAACAGCGGCACAACGTGCGCCTGACGGTGCTTGGCCGCCGGCGGAACTCAAGGGCGCTCGAGGGCGCGTCGCCATGGAGGATCTGAGGGTGCGGCAGGCGGAATCCATCAAACGCCTGAACTCCACGAAGAGCTTGAAGGATCTCACGCCGGCGACTTGGATGTCGAAGCGTGAAGACGCCGAAGACTGGGGACGGAATCGGGGTGGTTTGAACTAAAGATCATCCAGTTCTCAAATGGCTTTGAGTCGAGTCGTACGACCATGTCATACACCAAGCTCCATACGCCGCGCTGCCTCTGAAAAACGGTGAAAGAGCATGTCGAACGAATCCCCAGTGACTGACCTGGAGCATCAGCTCTTGTTGGGACCTCTTGGTGGATGCCTCTCGATAGGTACATGAGAGGTGGGGGACCAACAAGGATCACACGCACGAAACAAGACATGGTCATGAATCAACCAGTTGAAGGCCTCAGAGTGCCATGGCAGCAGTTGAATCAACCATGCTTCACCAACTCTCAGAACTCAAAGCTTCTTTGGAGCAAACAGGATTCCTGCAGACAGCGCGGACCACAGACAGCCGACCCTCCCTTGTACCGGTAGTGTTTTTTTTTGTGGCACTGTCCGGTCGACTTGGGGGCCTACAGCGGTTGCTGTGTGAAGCAATTCTGAACCAGACACCGACTGCTATGTTGTGAAGCAGCTGGTCACAGTTTCAGGAAGATCTTCCATCATCGAAAGTTCCTAGAAGTTGTTTCGAGGAGGGTTCACAGGCGGTTGTTTTCACATAAAAATGGATGCTCCAAAGATTCCAAAGGTCAAGAAGCCATGATTCATGATTGTTCAGGGCAACTTTTGCTGCCACGGCGTTCCCCACATCCGACATTGTCAGCGGATGCTCCAAAAAGACCAAGACTGCTGTGACGCACAGGTGCTTGATAGCTGTTGGTGTTATTTTCCGCAAAACAACAGTGACCTGCAGGTGTTTGTTTTCTCTTCTTGTCTATGTGACCACGCGACGCTTGAACAGCCTCCGAACGGTTCTGTCTCTGTCTGCACCACGGCCAGGGACCGGGCTTGACGCGCTCAGGTGGAGTCCCAACGCATCGATCTCACCACGAGTTCCTCCACGGGGGGCGTCGAATGGAGCTTCGGGCCTCATCCGCCCACGGTGTGCCACAAGGTTCCGCCGGAACGGCCGGGACCGGGCGCCTACTACCGAGCCGATTTGGATGCTTGGTTGTAAGGTCTTAGAAGGGGTGGCATGCTTAAGAGGTCTTGAAAGCTAGGGGTCACGAGGCATGCTTGAAGTGGAGAATGCCCTGGAGTGGTCTTGAGTATGGACCAGCACCCAGGGTGTGTGTGTGTGTCTACATTCAGTCGCTGGATGTGTAAAGACAATGTACGTTACACTTGCTCATATCAGAGACGTATCTTCTCGTAGTCGTAGTCGTAGTCGTAGTCGTAGTCGTAGTCGTAGTAGTAGTAGTAGTAGTAGTAGTAGTAGTAGTAGTAGTAGTAGTAGTA